TAGATATAGAGATGTCCATCCGATGTAGTCACCAACAGTCGAGGCAGCTTCTGAATCCTAATAAGGAAAGGATCATGAGTCAAAACACATCTGTACTGTGCACAGATACAGCACGTGCCCAGGCCACGCGCTCTGCAGGCACGGGTGCAAGATAAGGGGCCGCAGTGGTGGTGTTCTGCAGAGATAGTTGTGTCTGCTCCTGGGCTGGGGTTGGCAGAAGGGACACAGACGTCGATACATACGTGGAGAGGGCACAGATGTTCCTTTGACCAGAGATGTTCAGGCGGACGGTGGCAAAGGCTCGGTCCTGGTTCATCATGCCTGACACCTGAGCAGGGAGGTAGTTGGTAGCAGCCTGGAACATCTTTCCCATGTAACCGCTCCAGGTTGGAGGCTCCTCTGGCCGGCTGAGGGGGTGACAAAGCAGCAATCAGCATGACAAAACAGATCAGGAACAGGCAAGAATGATCCTGATCTCAAGATACAGAAAGGCTTTCCTTGGAGCATCTGCACACACTGTGCGCCGGCCCAGCTGGACGCACAGGCAGGAGGCAGGGGACAGCAGCAGCTCAAAAACCCAGAGCAGGCCCGGAGAGGCTGACAGCAGGGGTTCAGCGTGTAACTCTGCCAAGGATGAGTCCCTCAGGATACAAAGCCAAAGAGTTTGCAGCCAGTACTGCTCATGGAGAGTATGTGGTGAGGAAAGGGGGGCCCGCTGTGTAAAGCAGAGCTCTGAAGCAGAGACAGCCCTGGGGCAGGCACGTTAACCCAGGCTAACCCCCTCACCTGTCAGTGAGATGCTCCAGCTTAAAGACGTGCACCGTCTCTGTGTTGCTGGAAGCACAGAGGAACTGGGAATCCATGCTGAACACCAGGGAGCTGATGTTCACATACCTAGGGCCGAGCAAAGACAGGAGTGGTCATTTCACAGGAAACCGTTCATGGGGAACTTCTCAGGTTTGCTCACAGAGACGAGTGAAGGGAGGAAGGACGCCCACACACGGCGAGGAGCACCCTGCCTGGCTGCTATCAAGCCTGTGGGCTGACTGAGGAGCATTTCTCTAATCCCTTTGCTCAGCAGAGCTGGGAGTAGCCTCGAGCTAGTGACAAACAGCCAGAGAGGTGGAAACGTCCTTGCTCACAGAGCTGCCTGTGGAGTGAACATCTGTGCTACAGCAGCTAAAGCCTGTGGTTCTGCAAAGGCCAGGGAGAATATCCAAAGCGCTGCACAGTGGGATACAAAGAGCAACTCCTCCTGCACAGGTTCAGCA